ACTCAGAATGTTACTCTAAGGGTTAATCATAAGGATTTTAATAAAGAAAGTTTCAGCTCAGGTGACCTGAAGACTAGATAGGCTGGCTTTTTAAATGACTTCTCATCTAGATCTTTCTCTACACAATCAAAAGAGAAAAAATTCCCCCAACTGTAAAATCATCCCAAAGAGAAATGGAGCTGAACTGCACTCTGTAGGTTGCTGATTTGCCACCGATAATAGAAAGAGGTCTAAAGATTTATCTTAGACCAGGCATTTCACTTTTTAAACAGCTTAAGAAAGATCAGATGAGTTCTAGGTCCTAAACCTAAGAGGCTCAAGCAACACTATTGGGACAACAGCTTGTTCCTAAACTGACACTTATCAATGGGGAAAATTGAGAAACTCCTTAGAAGGAGAAATTGGAAATGCTTTTGGTTCATATTATCTACCTTAAGGCCCATCCCACAAAAAAAAACCCACCACCACCAACAAAACCAAACCAACCAACCAAACCAAAAAAAAAAAACCCACACAAAAAAACCCAAACCAAAACAAAAAAACAACCCAAAAAAGCCCCAAACCAAGTTAGTGTGCCTACCTATGCAGTGGAAAATATCACTGCAAATAAGTTGCTTTTTGTGCTGAATGCAGAGGAATACTTTAATCTGTTTTGTTCTATGAGGAGGATATCAAATCTTGATCAGTCCTGTACTTGCATAGTTCCATGGCAGAGATTTCTGCATATATTGCCTATATTTCTGTCCTATATTGAAAGGAAAATCCACAAAATTAATGTTTTGGATACTTTGCATTATGCAGTGACCCTTTTCTTGATGGTCTGATCCCTATAGATCCTTGCAATGCACATTATGCCTCTTAGTCGTTTGTTAGGAAAGGCAGTTATTACAGGAATTTTAATGGGCAAACTTTGAGAGATCTGGAAATGTATTTTGAAGCAAATTTCTGGAGAAACAGTCAGAGACCACATGTAATGACAACTATATTCTGGTAAAATAGTATTAAATTACTTTTTATAAACAATAGCAATCTTCTCTCTCACCTACTTTTCTGCTTCATCTTTCAGGTTCTCTGCCTTAAACATATTCTTCTCTTGATAATGAGTAGTGTTACTAAACCAAATCTTGTAACATTTAATAGACCCCTTATTGTCTTTGAGGAAATCACTTCATCATCTGAGTTTCACTGACAGATTTCATCCTTCTAGGAGCTTCCTGCTCATCCTGGAAGGTCTCTCCAGAAGTTCTTGAACCAAGATATTTAATCCTGAAATCCTGAAGAAGAAGTGGAATACAGTCTCCCCTTTCATTTGAGATTCATCTGTCATTGGTGACCTGATATTCACCCCCACCAGGAAAAGCTGATCTCCACAACATACTTGTTGTACATAAACTTTTTTCAGATCTAGGTAAAAATGTCATCACTTTATTATTATCACTGAATAGACCTACTCATCCTAAAACTGCTTCAATTTCTTCCTTCTTGTAGCTTATTCCAGTCTCCTTTCAGTCCACAAAGATCACCATCATGACAAACATGCTTAATTGCTCTGTCTTATTTTCTTCACGTCGAAGACCTCACAAGCTCTTTCTCTAACATCGTCATGCCCATCAGTTTGTATTGCTGGCTGACTCTTTGTCATCTAGAGACTCAGCTAGATTTTTGGTCCATTTCTTTGCATTACAATCGTTTTCAGTGATGTGCCATGATTCCAGACTCTTCTTGATCATCCTTCTTGAAAATTAATTCCTCCTTCAAACTTCGATTTTATTACTAAAGAGACATGAGAATTTATTTTCCCTACTTCTCTCTCTCTCTCTCTCACACACACGCACACACACACGAGTGTGACCATTCTGATTCTTTGTCATTCAGCTGACTTTTACTTCCTCACCTTTATTTTCTATGCCCTTTCAAAACTTGCTCATTAGCTGTTGCCTTCTCCTGAATATATTTTTTGTATATATGGTAGCTGAGTGCTTGAAGAATCCAAATTTCACAGAAACGACATGGAGTTAAGATGTCTGTCTTGTAAAGCCATACTGCGATCAAACCTAGCCTCTGAAACAGAGAAGTGAAAGTAATAAAGAAAAGAAGTCACAGGATTCTCCCTATCCTAGAACACAAATCACTTGTGGGGACTCTGCACTCACCACCAGTTTAGCCTTTAGAGCACATTGATGAATCAGTCAGATCAAGATTCCAACCCAACAGCAAGCACTATGAAAACATTTTTAAAAATAAGATCTTAAGAAGAAACATGAGACTGCCCTATACATTCTATGGTGACTAATTTGCCACATATGTCAACAAATAGCATCTCATATTTTTCTACACAGAAGGAAGTAATCCCTGATTTTTGCACCGTACTTTTGTCTGTACTTTGTATATCTTCCCCACATGCCATGGATTCCTCAGAAAATTATGTAAGGGCAAAGTCTTAGTAATATTAATGCCATTAACTTAGGCTGTTCTAATTCTTCACTTAAATCCATGCTTTCATCTTCTCACATCTTTGTCTTCAGTCCTTGCAATACTGATGTATGAGGACTAGTTCTCTGTCTCCATACACAAGTCCTTAGCTGCCACTTTCATACTTGCACACACATATGCACTTCATACATGCAATGACAGGGCAGATGTCTGAATTTACTAGACATGAAGCAATTGCATTCACAAGTATTGTCATGTCAACGAGAAAATTCAGAAGGCCTGCAAAAAACGCTCTTCACAAAGGTTTAGTGCTTCCATCTTTTGTGACAGGGAAGCCCATATTTCATTACCTCCTGGATCAAAGATACATTAATCAGAAACGGATAGTAGAGATGAGGGATCTAGTAATTCATATTAAAAAGAAAAAGAACACAACCCTGCAACAGCTGTGATGTTCAATGCTCAGATCAGGTCGGCATTTTGTATGCTGTAAATTGCAGTATTCTCACTTGAGTCAGCACTCTAAAAAAAAAGCTGCAATGTCATCATATACATCTTTAAATCTCACCTTTATCATTTTAAGAGGAATGTCCTAAGAACTTCTTTTGTGGTGGGATACTGCAACAGGCAGAGTTCTGAGATAGAAATAGATTCTTCTTTCAAAAGAGGTGCACTGATGACACCAGAGAACGTAAAACATAAAAATAATCTGTCTGACCAAAATAACCCCTTAAACAGAGGATAAGTAGTTCTGTGAGTAAGACCCTTCACGTACAAGGTCTGCACACAAGTATCCATCTTTCTCCACTGTGTCCTTGCACAGTGGACCCTTCCCATGCTTGCCTTTCCTGCCAGGAAGTTTAGTGGCTTCAGCTGAGCCTACTGCACAGATACCTCTCTGCATACCTATGAAATCTCTTTCTTCTGGTCACCACTGCTGTTTGTCCTTCAGCTCTGCTCCCATCTGTGGCTCTCAGAAACAGAAACTCTCTCTCTGTGGTGGCTTCTTTGCTCCTCCCTAATCAACCTGCTTGACCCCGTGTCCTGCACAGAACTGCCTCTTGACCATGTGATCACAATTCACCTCTCCCCAGAGCTGTCCCACACTGCAACGTACAGAAATGGGTTAAAAGGCAGGCTTTCTTCCCATGGCTTAGCCCTACATTTTTTTTTTTTTAAATGTGAAATTACCAAATATTTAAGCAGCCACTGAACAAGCAAATCAAATATTTATACCATCTACCATCACTTCCAAAGTCTTCAGAGCATATATAATCTGATATACTCACTGGCAAATTCCTTTTGTGTTGCTATTTTCAGTGGTATTAGTAATTGCCTTTAAGACTGTTAGAATCATCAGGCCGTCAAAAGGGTTACTGATGCTGGTAAGATGACAGATAGATGCAATTCTATCTATATGTTGACACTGAAAGACAAATGTCTTTGGTCAGTAAATCTGTTAGAGAACAGCGGAAGAAATCATCAGAGGAACAAAATATGTCCCTTTACTCCAATTCGTATAGGTCACCTCCGTTTTTAATACAGTGAGAGATGACTGAATGTGAGTGGTGGAGAGAACTGGGTAGCCTGCCCTACCATGTACCTAGCAATTGCTTGGCAAAGCCTTTCTGGTATTTTGCTGATAATTCCTGTGCTGATTCACAGATGTGCTGGTTCACAACACATCTGACGTCCTTTTACTCCTGCTTATGAACACCTCTCCTATGAAAACAGGCTGAGAGAGTTGGTATTTTTCAGCCTGGAGAAGAGAAGGCTCCAGAGAGACCTTATAGCAGCCTTATAGTACCTAAAGGGAGCCTGCAGGAAAGATGGAGAGGGACTTTTTACAGGGGCATGTAGTGACAGCACATGGGGTAATGGCTTTAAATTGAAAGAAGGTAGATTTAGATTAGATGTAAGGAAGAAATTCTTCACTGTGAGGGTGCTGAGGCCCTGGCACAGGTTGCCCAGAGAAGCTGTGGCTGCCCCCTCCCTGGCAGTGTTCAAGGCCAGGTAGGACGGGGCTTTGGGCAACCTGGGCTAGTGGAAGGTGGCCCTGCCCATGGCAGGAGGGTTGGGACTAGATGATCTTTAAGGTCCTTTCCAATCCAAACCGCTCTATGTTTCTATGATTCTATATTTCCATATTTCTTATGATTCTATGAGTTATTTGTTTAATAGCCTGCCACAGACCCAGTAGTTAAAGAAAGCACTGAACAGGGAAGGCCAAACATCCTTATAATTAGAGAGCATAACTGCCTAAGTAGTGGTGTTTCTCAATAATAAATCAGACGCTATGGGAGCTGAAGCACTGTGATACATTACGTGGAGAGGATAGCAAGACCCTCTGGTAACATTTTCAACATCGATACAAAAATACTCATAAAAAGCAGTTAATTATATGTGGTGCTTAACTGTTGTTTACAAAGACATTGATGTATTATGGTAGCCCCAGCAGTGTCCTTGTGTACAAAACATTTATTTAGCCCATTCTATATTTAAAGCATCATGAAAACAAGTTAAAAGTGTACAAAGGAGGAAAATGATTACTTTTGCTTATTTTGTAGCCAAAAGCTGGGTCTCTTGGATCGGGTTCGTGGTACCAATACTAAAGGAAAGCTATTTACCCCTCTGAATGTAGATGCCATTGAAGAAAGTCCTTCAAAAGAGCCTAAGAATGTTGTCTTGAATAATAAGGAGCGTTTTCGCACTGCATTCCGAATGAAAGCGTACGCTTTTTGGCAAAGCTCAGAAGGTAGCCCATCTGTGTTGATTTCTTTCTACCCACCCCCTATTCTCCTCATTTTACTTTGTTCCTCTCCATCTTCTGTTGAAGCTTTGCGACTTTCTGGGCCAAGCTGGCTGGTCCCTGGTTTTACAGGGCACATTTGGGGAAGCTCCAAGTAATGAATGCTGGAGTCCAGGCAACACAGTGCTTGAAATTAGACAGTGGCCCTCCATAAAACCAGCAACTGATATGGGATAAAGCCAGGGCTGGAATCAACCTATTTGACCTGGAAAAAAAGGGCACACTGGGCAGTGAATCTGTATCCCCCGAAAACCACATGCCGTCATGGCTTGGTTTATCAGCAGGGATGCTATGTTAAGGTAGGTCCCTCCTAGACCGCATCCAGCCCTGCAATAGCTTGTGTCCAGGCACCTCAGACATCTCCTCACTGAAACCTCTTAAAACCTTGTTTTATAGAGTCAGTGGCTGCTGTCTCTTAT